GGCAGCTCCAGGGAGAGATGCTCAGTGACAGTTGATGATCTTGGGAGACAGAGGAGCCAAAGGTGCCCCTTTTGTCCCAAATGTGTGAACCCACCTTCAGACGGGAGGGATTTCTTTAGGAAATGAAGGTCACCAGAAATGTCCAGAGCAAGAGAGAGAAATCTTCTCTCTCCAGCCACTGAGAGTGACAAGTGTATTTTGAAAACTCCTCCCCCTCTCCTTGTCCTCATCCTGTCCTTTTGCTTTCAAGTGGCTTCATTAGTATTTTTTAATTCGCCTTTGTCATTGGACATTTATTGACAGAAATCAAATTGCTGTATTTCTGGGCAAAGCGCCTGCTGCAAAGAGGTGTGGTTCCCGGGGAATGAGACACGCAGCCCAACAGCTGAGCCTACACTGTCCTCACATAACCTCCCTGCCTTAAATATCGCCAATATTTAGCCTTGCCTTATAAAGTAAAAATGCACAATACCTTCCAGAGTTTCAGCAAGCCCAAATGCCCCCCTCGGCTCAGTTATATCTCCTGTACGTTGGAGGCTGAGCCGCGCACCCCTCCCCCAGCGCAGACCTGCCCTCGGAGCCGCCAAGAGGTTACTAATCAGGGAGCCTCCGCCATCGATCCGATGGTGGAGACCTGGGGGATTTGTGTGCATTGTTTTTGCTGAAGCCTCCTGTGATTTCGGCGCGACCAGATCCTCTGCAGCGCACTCCATGTCGCAGCTTGTGGCTGCCTGTGTCCTGTGGTGAGAGCGGAGCCGCACAGGAGATCCTTTGTCTAGGAAGGCTAGCAGAGAAGATCACTTTGGAGTTGCTAAGCTCTGCATTGCCATTGGCTGCACTCTTTGTGGGGCTGTTTTTGCAAAAGGCATGCCCAGCACGTCTACAGTGCTGGCAGGCCAGGGCTGCCTTTAAACACCATGATAATAATACCAAAAAGCAGTTTGCAGAACTGTTCCACTGTAGAGGCTTCCTCTGCAGAAGCAAGCAAGATGGCTACCTCGTGGGCTTCGCTGTGAAGAATGCAGAGGCTAATTAAGACAGACTTTAAGGGGAAAAAAGGGTATTTCCCTACTTCATCTTTATGCAAGGCTTTTTTTCAGTGACTTTTCAAGTATACATTTTACATAAGCTCTTTAGGTTCTGCCTAGCAAACATGTTGATGATTTTAAATGGTCTAAGTAGTTTTATAGAGAAATAGCCAAAAATTTGGGGGGGGGGGAGCTAATTTTTTTTTTCTTAAACGGAGGCTCATTTTGCAATTTGATTTTTTTTAGGTTATAAAAGAAAACAAGAGGCCCCAGAGGGAAAAGAAGCCCAAAGTTTTAAAGGTAATCAGCTATTGATTAAATCATATTTAATTTTTTGCCATTTCATATAGTATTTTTCTGTCACTTAGGAGTAAATTTGGAGTACAGTGGATGTGAATTCTCCCGGATTTTCAGTAGATAAATGAATTTTCACTCAACTGAAGTGTTTTCTCTCTCTCTCTCTTTTTTCTGATGTGCTGCATGATGTGCATATTAGCATCCTTTATTTTCAACTCCACACAAGTCTGCAGAAGGAAAAGTTTATATGCAAAGTGTTGTGAATAAAATTTGTTTTTCTTTGTAGATCCTTTTGTAGCATCTGCCTTTGTGGTGTTGCACCAGTGTGTAAACTTAAGCTCTTAAGGAGACACTATTTGAAGTTGACAGCTATGATCCATTGTGATTTTAATAGACCTTCCATTAGATACTATTTTAAAATGTGTGGTTTTGCTTTCCAAAGGAAAAGGTCCTTAGAGATTTTAGTTCAACTTAAAATATGTAAGCCATCAAGATCAGCCAAATTATCATTGCCTAATCCCAAATTCTCATTGAATCATTTTTAATTTTGGCATTCATAGAGCTGTAGGAAATATACATGTTTTCTTTATTTTCAGTGGTTTGCCTAATGAGTATTTATCAGTAACCTAATTCGGTTATAAGCTAACAGTCTGTTATGAGCTTTGTACAGTATTTAGAAGGGTTAATTTAAAAGCATATGGCACTACTCAAAGTTCAAGGCTAGCTTTAGTTTAGCAAATGGGTGCTTATGTGTTAAAGGTTTCAAGTGGCATATTGCTGTTATAAATGTAAGCAACCTGAGCAAGTAACCTTTTTAATTCAAAAAACACATATTAAGCAATAAAACTTACTGATCTTTAAAATTATATCATGTATATATAATTAACAATATTTTAACCTAATCTTAGCTTTTCTTTTGCAAATAAAGTTTTAGCACTCAAAGAGGAACAACATGTTGAACTATGGATGTGGCAAATTTTTATTCATTTGCTTCCCCAGTTGTGTACCTTGAAAATGTTTTTGACATGGAGAACCAAACCTTGCATTGCTTTCAAATTTGTCTGACCACCTTGAGTTTCTGTTTCCTGTGTGTATGCGGCGTTACCATGTACATTTTCATCAACCAACAAGTTATTTGTTTAATATTTACCACACAGTCATCAGTGTTCTAGGCACTGTGAAATGAATGAAATTGCTTGGCACAAATTCTCATTGGGCCTGGACAAATAGAATACTGGTTATTTTCAAGGTAAATTAACCCCTCCTGTTTTTCTTCTGCATATTGATCTACCCACCCCCTTTTACTTCCTTTCCCTCCTCCAGCTATAAAATTGTATCATTAAAAGCCCTGCTTATATTTCTTAATCTTTTCTTACACTTTCTGTGTTGGGTGTATCCATCTCAGGTGTTTTGTCTTCAAATCTTCAAGTGAAAAATCATTTTAGTGCTGCTGTTAAAATGGCTCTCAGATTTGCAGGGGTTAGGGTAGGGGCATACGAGAAAGAGGTCAATTGCATGGACATATTAATATAGATGAAGCTTGGTAGCTAAATCATTATCTGCCTTTGCTAGGCAGTAGAATTGGGTTTGGGGGATACTATTTAATTCTATGTTTATTTTGTTAGTCTGTGGGTGTCCTGTCACCTGAAATAAATTTCAGAAGTAAATATACCATGTGTTGCTTTTTTGAATTAGGGCAATGGACTCTGACTTATTTTAAAATAAATGCCTGTGGGTGGCTGAATTTCATGTGCCACAGCAACAGAACTGAATTGTTGCTCACTTTCCTCTATAGTTATCAGTTGTTGTATAAGAGTAGGGAAATGCCCTAAAAGGAAAAAATCATTTTTTCCCCTGATGTTGGCATTTTAAAATGTTTAATTTTCTATTAGCTGTAATGTATTTTGTTCTCCAGAGAAAGCTTTGTTTCTTTGTTCCACAGTAGAAATGCTAAAATACTTTCAGATTTTAGCTCGATATGTGTAAAATAGGTAGAATATTGTACAACCCTGAAGGAGATGTTATGAAAACTAAATCCATATTTTGGGAGGGAGGGCAGGGAAAGAGTACAACTTTCAGCTTAAGGTTTTATGGATGAGGACTCAGTATTGCAGCTGGCTGCTATCTGGGGGAGCAGTGATGGGAGTCTACAGGTTACAGCTTGGTCTCCTTTCATAAATCTCTCTTTGTGTTTGGCATTGTGCCAGAGATCTAGTCCACTTCCTTTGACTCTGGCCTCTTAGATCTTCAAATCTGGGTCCCTTGCTTTTTGTCAGGGTGGGTGCTGCAGGTATCCTAAGCAAAGATTTTCATCTTCATCATCTGTGAAGAAGTAATTGGACAGGTGAAGAGTCTGATTAAGGGAATTGGGTGCAGAATTGAAGCTTGTCCCATCCTACTCTGAACCTGCTAACTAAATACTGAATCCAGTTGGGGAGCTGAAATTGCCTGATATGTCTCATACCTCTCACTTTTAAGCAATCTGTTATCTATATCAATAACCTATATTCATTCTATTGTAGTTCAAAATGTAAAACTGTAGATAGTGACTTCAAATCCCTGACTAGAGAGAGAATTCTCCTCTAGTTGAAATGCCAGTTTCTGTCCAAAGCATTCAGATGGCCAGAATGGATATCGAATGATGTGGGTAGGAGGTAGGTGAAGCACAAATTCCTACCCCCACTGGTTCTGGAGGACCAGATTCCTGCCCAAGCCCTGTTGATTATCACTAGAGTTATTTTATATATACATGGCAGCTTATTGGCTGTGCTGTAATTATTTCCTTGACTTTTGAGTAAGGTAAAGGTGTGAAATAATTTCAGGCATTGATTCATAAAATTGGACTTGTGAGTGGCATGATTTGGAACTCCACTTGGTAGAAACATTTATGTAAATAATCTCTACTTGATGTGTCAGGGTAAGAGGATATATTCCCTTAAGAGAATGTTGATTTTAAGGTAATATCACTTTGGTTAGGTTGTCAATCGTTGTCCCTGGAAAAAAATCAGATTGCATGGTCATTTGGGGATATTGAGGGGAATTTAATAAAGGAATTATTTAAAAGGTGTGGGCAGGGTTAAGGGAAAAACTAGGGATGGCAAAGCATCCCAGGGCTAATGACAGCAGAGATTTCTCACCACTCCTAGGCCTGAAGGGGCCAGGGAGTGAGAGCAGAAACCCAGATACAAAGAATAGTTGAAGTTGAAGAGATGGAGCAGGGTCTTTTATTGCAGCCTTTGGTAACAGGATGTTTCTGCAGAGAGGAAGTTTTGGGATGTGGGGGATCCAAATAAATACCCTGCCCTCCAGTTTTCTGCTGTTTTCATTGGTGGATCCAATCAGAAGCCAAAAGGGGACAGGATGGTGTGTTCAAAAATAGTACCAGAATCATTATTATAAGAAGGTAACATTAGGCAAGACTGGGTGAAGTGTATATAAGAAACCCTATACTATGTTTGCAACTTATCTGTAAATCTAGAATCATTTCTTTTCTTTTTCTTTTAAGATTTATTTATTTATTTGACAGAGAGAGCAAGAGAGCACAAGCAGGGGAAGTAGTAGAGGAAGAGGGAGAAGCAGGCTCTCCGCTGAGCAGGGAACCCCATGGGGGACTCGATCCCAGGACCCTGGGATCCTGACTGGAGCTGAAGGCAGACACTCAACCATCTGAGCCCCCCAGGCACCCCTAAAATCATTTCAAAATAAAAAGCATGGGCATCCCTGGCAGGAACCATATTTATACATTCTATAAGTAGAGACACTCTTTCGAGGGCAGTAAGGGATATTTTCTAGCTATTTGGTTATAAAATATTATCAAAGTCATATTTGGAAGAACTGAGTGAACAAATATAAAGAAATGTCAGTGGATATTAAACCAGGAAATGGTCTACAGATGATTTAGAAAAGAAAACTAAATGATCTTCCTGCTAGCTTCTACACTGGCAGCCCTGCTCTTCACTGTTTCCTTCCTTCCTTGATGATGCTGATAAAGGAGAACAAGTGGTACTGGGGGCTGATGGGGGACATAGACATATTTCTCACTAGGAGAGAAGACACGAGCATATAGCTATACTTAAAATATATTTTTAAAGATTTTATTTATTTATTTGTCAGATAAAGAAAAAGAGCACAAGCAGGGGGAGCGGGAGAGGGAGAAGCAGCTCCCCACTGGGCAGGGAGCCTGATGCGGGACTCGATCCCAGGATGCTGGGATCATGACCTGAGCTGAAGGCAGACGCTTAGCTGACTGAGCCACCCAGGCGCCCCTACTTAAATATCTTTTTGAAAAATGTTTTGAAAGGAGAATCAAATCATAAATAAATCATATTCATACATGGTCTTGATTTGCATGACATAGTGACATTCAAAATATTTAGTACAATCCTTGCCTGGCACATAGTAAATGCTCAGTAAGCTCAATTTCCTGAACAACATCATTTACATTCAATATTATTATTATTTTTTTAAGCATATACTAAATGCTGGGGCTACAATGGTGTACAAGCCCAAAATGGTTTCTGCCTTCATGGAGATTAACTTTGCTTAGGAAAGTCAGGGGAAAAAAATTAAAGACAAATGAATAAATTACAGGGCGCCTGGGTGGCTCAGTCGTTAAGCGTCTGCCTTCGGCTCAGGTCATGATCCCAGGGTCCTGGGATCGAGTCCCACATCGGGCTCCCTGCACGGCAGGCAGTCTGCTTCTCCCTCTCCCACTCACCCTGCTTGTGTTCCTGCCCTCGCTATCTCTCTCTGTCAAATAAATAAAATATTTTTTAAAAAATGAATAAATTACAAATTGTAGTATATGCTTTGAAGGAAACAAAAAAAGTGCCAAGCTAGGGAAATTTACTTCATATTTTTGAGAGCTGTCCCCTTCATTTTT